CCCTTCTTTCAGCCACAGTAGATAGAGATATCCCCTTCTCTCAACCACAGTAGATAGAGATATCCCCTTCTCTCAACCACAGTAGATAGAGATATCCCCTTCTCTCAACCACAGTAGATTGATATCATTTTTCCCTTTGCCATACTGGATTGACATCCTCTCAACGATACTGGCTCAACAGTGTCTCCTTTCCCTCATAAATACTCGGTCAATGTTGTCTTCTTAGCCATAGTCATACTTGACCAATGATGTCCAGTTTCCCTTAGTCATACAGAACCAATAATGACCTCTTTCTCATAGCATGCTGGTTCAATGATGTCCCCTTTTTAAAGTTGTACTGGGCTAATGAAATCTTCTTTCCCTCAGACGTTTTGGCCTGATGATGTTCCGTCATAGTGAGCCAAAAATGAGCCCTTTTCCTTAGTAATACTGGGTTAATAATGTCCCCATTCCCCTAGTCATACTTGGTCAATAATGTCCCCTTTCTCTTAGTTATACTGGGCCAATGATGTCCCCTTTTGCCTAGTCATACTGGGCCAATGATGTCCCTTTTTGCCAAGTTATACTGGGCCAATAATTTCCCCTCTGCTTAGTCATACTTGGTCAATGATGTCCCCTTTGCTTTAGTCTTACTGGGCCAATGATGTCCCCTCTGCTTAGTCATATTTGATCAATGATGTCCCCTTTGCCTTGGTCTTACTGGTCCAATAATATCCCCTTTTTATTTGCCATATTGTGAACATATAATAATATATACAAACGGAAGTTGTTATCACGCTATCTTGATTATCTTATATAATATTCCCTAATACATCTTCATCACTCCTTACCGACTTCCATTTCCAGATTAACGTTATTATATTTTTTCCTACCCATATTATTTACATACATGCTCATTTATTGCTTTCTACAAATACATTTTATAATAACCGTTTTTTCACTGCCCCTGACTTCTGACATTAACTTGCTTTAAAATAAAAGTACATCAGCAGGTACCACTTTTCCATATGTTTACTCTGAAATGATGTTTCTTCTGAGGAAAGCATTTACGCTTACATACACACAGGCAATCACATCTACCATAAATCTAATTTCATTTGCTAATACATGTACTATACCTTGATGCACACTACATTTGCTAGCACTAATATCACATTGGAATCATGTAAAAACCCATTCCATCCAGTCACACTTCTTAGATTATGTAGAGTTGGTTTGGTTGGTGATAGAAATAACATCAGAGAGGTCACTCTGCACTTCCATGGGTTACATTGAGTATACTTTATATTTCTTAATCTAACTTTAATATTTTAATTTTTTACTAATAAGGCTTGCACTGTTTAACTGTTTGCTCACGCTATGTATATCTCGAGTGTTTGCATGCACGTGTTATTGTTAAAGAGCTACAGTCATCGTACAGTACACTTTGAAATTTTATGCTAACAATATTTTAAAATTTATACACATGTTTTATATGGGCCGACTCCTTTCAGTCGTACTGTGTTGCAGCAACTGTGGTGCTTTAACCGAGTGCTCCTGCTATGTATATCAAAGATAAATATCTGACCACTCTGCTTACTTATTTGTATCATTAAACTCACTGAGTTGTTGAAATCATTACTTAGACTACTACATACTAATAATAATGCTATTATATTTAATGCTTTCTGTGTGTTGTGAACACTTACAGTACTGATACATGGGTGAGCATTCTACCTTTACCGTAATCAAAGATATGTGTGAACGAAGTTCTATTTTTTATAAGTTATTTAATGTTTTAACAGTTTACATGTTGCCAGATGCACGTGTTTGTTTTATACTGAATGCTGATACAACCCTACTATTCTTGATTTTAAAGTTGTTGTCACAATGAATGTACTTGTACTTTCACTTCAAGCTGGCCCCCACCATGTTTCCTGTTTTCGTTTCCTCAGTAAAGATTCTGTGTGAAATTGGACAATCTGAGAAACATTTTTTTTTATTTTCATGCATTTTGTATACACCAGGCTGCTAATTTTACTTATAAAGGGGGGGATTAATTGTATAATTGATTGAAAGTGTTCTACCATTGTGTTAACAACTTTGAAGAACGAATTCAACATGTGTATACCTGAAATACTAACTTGACATCTTTCTTGTCCAGGTTGACAAACTTTCCATTGATGAAAATAAAGACAGATATATGGAGAAAAACAGTAAGTACAAAATTGAAAAGTAAACAAAATGTTTAGAAGTCTGCTTTGATACTAGTTTCAAGGTGGTAGTAGGTACAAAATGTAGTTTCTTTGTAGTTTGTATTTGTATTCCATGCAAATAAAAGTGTGAATACAAAATATAAACATATATTGCTCATAGCTTTGAAAACAACCATAATTTTTTTCACAAATTTCCAGAAATCTAGTTGTGCTGCGAATCGTGAAAAATAATCGACAAATATTGTCTCCATTGGCTTCTATTAATTTTGAGCCCTGTATCGCATCACCACTATGTCAGTTTCAGTTCTCTCCTTCCCATTGCTGATTAAGACTAGGATAAAATATTTCATTTGGAACTTACACATTAGTTGTGTTCACGTTACACGAAGTACAGGCTTAAGAATTAAGCTGATTAAGCTTATCTAGCATATTTGCATTTCGGCTACACCCAATTGCGTTCACGCACAGGGAGGGCCAGTCATTAGCACGGGCTAAGGGGTGCCATTAGTTGGTGACCTTTGGTAAGCCGCTATTTACGAACGAAAAATGGATGACACGCGCGAGCTTCTATTTCTTCTGTTGGCATGTTTCGTTCTAATTTTGAAGCGACGTGCACAGGAACGTGAGAGAAGACGGACCCAACTTATTTGGATGCACAGAAACAGTATACAACGGGCATAACAGAATACAGAGTTTTGCATGTCGTAAGACAGCGAACCAAATTTACTTTTGTCTACAATTGGAGCTGCTGTACGCTCTACTACAGCGACCCGATCAGTGTGGAAACGAGTGCGGAGTAATGACTGGTGGAATAGAGTCCGTTATACGAACATGGGACAATTTTCACACCCGAAGGTCGCCCCAGAGGGCGCTTAGCCCTGGGCTAAGCGTTCGCGCATACTTCGTTAGCCCGTGCTAAGGGTCTAGACCGCGTCTTAAATTCGGATCAGATTTAACCCGTACTTAGCATTCCTTAGCCCGTGCTAAGCGTTCATGCACGTTTTCTTAGCACAGGCTAAGGAATTTGACCTCTTAGCCCGTGCTAAGGAGCTGTGCGTGAACGCAACTATTATAGACTGCACAAAGTACAACAAACAGGGATACGGAATACAATCCAAACAAAAAAATGTGCTTAAATAATTAAGAATTTAATTACTTCAAAAGAAAACAAATCCCTCTTGCTTAAGCGTTGAAGGTTTTGCATGTAAAAAACGCATTTTACCTGGATTTGGTGATTACAGAAAAAAATGTAATGAGTTTCATTTCCAAGCTTGTTACAGTTACATAGGTTGCAAAATCAATTGTGTCTTCTGATGCCATTATACCTGCTTTTTCCAATGAAAAGCATGTGATGGGCAGAAACTCATTAGTTTAATCCCATTCTATTATCTAAATACAAAATAATCCTTTTAAATAACTTGTACTTGCTTAATTTACTGATGTTTTTTTTTGTTAATAGACTGTTGCCATTTTCTTTTGAATAATTCATTAAAATTGTTAATAATTGGCAAATCTGAATTTGTGAGTACAGTTTTACTGTACAAATGATCTAATTCAAAAGCTGCATCCAAAATTACATTTAGTTTTCTTACATAATAATCATTGGTAATTTTTAATAGCATGAGAATTAATGTCAACCATAAGTGTATAGCAGTCAAGTTCACCCCTGCAAGCAATGTTAGATGCCTTTCTGTGAACTCATAAAACTCATTCAAAAAATTTGATTTGTAAGTTTTCACTGTTGATGCTTTCACTGAATAATTTTGTGATTAGTTAGTTATTAGTGATGGATGGTGTGATGTGTTGACTCAGGAACACACGAAACTTCTTGTTTATTTCGCCATTTTCAATTACACCTGCACTACTTTTAACATATCAATACTCTTGGGTGATCAGGTGACATATAACATCATTACAAAAGTATGTATTCTGACGCATACAATAAAGTAGTCCCCAAAACGTCACAATGGTTTAATAATTTATCCACCCAAGATGTCAGCTCCAGAAAGGATCGTGATATATACGGGTACTTATAGTCATGCACAGACATTTCAAGTACATCCTATTATTGGCTATATCTCGAAAATGTTGAAACCTTAATATTTAACAATTATTTCACACCAAGTGTTTGTTTTAGAACAACAATATAATGCGTCAATTCTGTTAATTGTATTTATTGTTCTATTGTTTATATGAAATAGGGACTCTACTCTATAACACTCTGGTAGGAATCCTGAACAAGAATAAAATTCTGTTGCTTGTTTCATGAAAGGGAATTAATGGTGTAGACTGTATAGTCACTGAATGAGAACATATTTGCTGCAGCCACTAAATCATCTGTGTACTGTCTGGCATGCTTCAAATGTGACAGTGTGGGATATAGAGCATTCGTATGTGTAGATAACATATCACCATTTTAATCACCAGCAAAAATGAAATTATGTTTACAGCAATTTAACATAGATGAATAAATTCACTCTTTTTTTTGGAATTTATTAAAACATTTACCCAGGTAAAAAAAGTTGCTCATCCATCCTAAAAAATAAATTTTGTGTAATCAGGAAAAAAAAATCTTCTGGAAAGATATAATTATCAGTTCAGTGGACAGTGACTGGTTTAATAATTTGAATGAAATACTGTTTAATTTTTAATTTTTTTTCTAGAATGTGAATTAAGATTTATAGTCACAAGGGAAATTATGTTCATTTAGTCCAATTAACCAATAAATAACATAAATATGTGCAAAATGTTGCATCCAGATTTTGTTGGGAATATTTAAAAAATTAAACAATAACATAATAGCTCTGCTGATTTCCTTTTGTAGAAAACTAACTTTACTTTACTCATCATTTCTACTTACAGATACGTCATATAATTCAATTTGAAGAAACAAAGACATCGAAAACTGACAGAACGTAGCCAGTGACTAATAGAAGAAAATCAAATCTGACAATAGTGGTTAGAAAATAGATAGGAAACCAAAATTTCGAAAAAAAAGACACTAAATGTTTCCTTTTCTGTTTCCAAATCACTGATACTGGTGCTTATTTTATGATACACTGTATGTTCCTAACTGAAATAAAATATTCTGTACAGAGAATTTTATGCAAGTATTTTATAGATAATTATGGCTGATTTCCACACAGTGCCAATATTGTAATCACATATGTATATAAATTGTAAAACAAATTTGATATAATTTAAAAATGAATAGTGTTTTGAATATTTTATACTGAATTGTTTGACAGTGTAAGCCCTTTACGTTCCATGCCAGTGTACATGTACTATGTTTTTCATTGTAATTTTTCTAGTATGTAAATTTTTATATTCACTTGATTTTTCTAAAGTCATATCTAGTATACTAGTACACAGAAATTTGCATGTATATACACTTGTAGCCCTACACGATCGGCATCAGTTATTGCATGCTCGCTGACAAATTCACTCAATCACAAACTAGTTTTGTTCAAGAGAACTTGTTGGTGAGGATGCAAAAAATATCGCTGAGCATGTCAGGCTAATTCACTTGTCATTATGTTTAATTATATTCAATCTTTTGTTGGCTTTAGAAGGGAGTCTTTGTGAAAGGTGATGTCTCTTTCCATGTGTTTTTTGTTTGCAAGTTTGCAGTTTAACATTTTAACTCACAACATTAATATATTTTTATAAAAGTATTGACACATATTGATGAGAAAACCACCTAGATTGAAGTACCTTTTTCTTAATTTTGTCACAAACTGATCACTCAGTGTCGCATTTAAATTTTGGTATTTATTGAAAACTAATGTTTGCTAATTGTACATATTTGTGCTCATCCAAGAATTTGTGAATACATCTACCGATATCCTCTGTATTTTTGTTAGCATTCCCACTCAACCAAATTCTGATACTGCAAAGAATTAGCCAGTGTTGAAGGATGGGTCATGTCTCTTTGTGTCCTTTTTCTGTATTGAACTCTAGTCATAGTGATTTGCACAAAGCAAGAAAAAAACATTGTTTACAGAAAATTCATACACAAGCTGTCCTTTAATGATGCTTCGTCGTTGCGGTGTGTGTGTTGAAATTTCATGTAAATGACCGTGATGCTAAATGAATTACGATAAAAATACAGTATGGATTAGTACATGTTCTTACGAAGGTAATTTCCTTGGTGACTGTGCAATTGTACTGGATTGTAAATATATTTTATGTCATCTTGAATTAATGTGCATTCTCAGACAAGCAGCGCAAATATTAATTGCACTGGTATACAAAAAGAAACTTCTCGCTTGGTTCAATTCTTTGCAGGTTTGATGTTTCAGGGGTATCCCCCAAGTTTTAACTTCACTGTTTTTTGAAGGATACAATAGACTGTTTAACTTAACTTACTCATCAGGTTTTAGTTAGGTGCATTTAAGTTATCAGTAAAAATAAAAACTTCAATAAATAAGCCCGTATACAGGTATGCTCAGATATCTAGTGCCCTCTATAGTCAATTCTGTAATATTTAAGTCTGTAATCAAATTATATATTATGCACTCTTTATGAAGTTCAACTGAAATTTGAATAATAAAAATCATCATTCACAGTATTATTTTTTTTATTATGTTTTCTACCTTGTACATTATAGTAGTTTCTTTGCATTTTCCAATGAAATAAAAAACATTTATGAGATGAAAAAAAACTAATTTATATTGTTTTTATTGGATGGAATTTCTTAAGTTTGGAAATTGGTTATTTAATTGGAATCAACAGTGTAAAATAAAGAAAGGAATTGATTTTGGAATTGTTGTCTTATTCAGCTGTATTGACTAACGCATCTCTATTCACACAACTTCCCTATAGCACTTGCATTATTTTTTGTTTCCTCTCAAGGACACTCCACCAGGGTGTGGTGCTCATGCTGCTATAAACTTTATTTGATAATGAGATTGGGAGCTCAAGGCCTAAATTCTTATTGTGTGGAAACCACTGCGAGAGGATCAGCTTCAGAAGGGAAAGCTGTTTCAGTGAATTTCCTACTTTGATAAACAAAAAAACATCTTTGTCCATGAAGATTGTTGAATTAATGTATTTGCTGTCTGGTTCATTATGATTCAGTTATTGTGCCAAAACTGCTGAACCCTGGATAATACAACCCTGCATCTTCCACAAATACTGGTTGTTAATAAAGAACCATTTCATTTAGAATAAATACTGTATAAGTTGTACTCACAGACAAATCAGTAATTCAGAGCTCTGTCGGGTCAATTTTCTAATAACTGACATTTATTCCAATCTAGTTATTAGCATTGTTATTTACATGTTGAGTAATTATACCTTCATCTTTAACGAGATCATTATTTTTGCTCTTACAACAATTACCATGGCTTATTTAGACTTAAATTTGAATGAAAGGTATTCGTCAGCCAACTTGCGGTTATATTTATTTTAAAACGTTTTTATTTCGCAAGAGACAAATATTTTCTAATTTCACAAATCAAGGAAAAGTATGAAATTGATTTGTAATCTTTTACATATAGGTTCGTTAGTTACTTTCGCAGTGTTTTGTGCTCATGAATTAATCCTTTTCAGTTATCAAATCAAGATGATAAAATTCACTATTTGCATGAAACCATATGTACACAGAGGTTAATGACCTTGTTGTATTCATTGTTATTCTAACAATAGTACTGCAGTACTACTGGTGGGTATAGTGTTTGATGGAAGGCCCCATAACGACATATGCAACATGTGTAAAATACATTGTGTGTTTACACAAAATTCAACAAACGCCCAACAGAGGATGCAGATCAGGTTGATTTTATAGGTGCATATGGTGCATCTTATGGGGTATAAATAGCATCCTCCAGGCACTATAAGGCTTTGTTTTTTAAAATATATAGCTTGAAATATTTTGTCAAAGGCTGCCAATTATATTTGATTATTAAATTATGAAACATATTTAGTGCAAATGTTCAATATAATTTTTTGAGTATGTCTTGTTAAATACTGCCAGAGTTCATTTTGAAAATTTAATCTATACTCAAAATTAAACTATTCCTCAGGGATAACAAGAAAATAAAAAAAAAAAAAAAAAATTATAAAAAGAAAATCCTACCCACATTTGATTGAGAAAAACAGAAAAAAAATGTTTACAGCAACATTTCTGTTGAAATAAAAATCTAACCCAAAAGTTTAAAGTGAAGGAAAAAAAATATTTGCACAGTAGTTCTTTGATCTCTTATCCCATTGTTTATAATGGTCAACCCCTTTAGTAAATAAACATACTACTGTGTACTTTTTGTGAGATGCTCAATTGTTTGAGATACGAATATCGAGTTACAAAACTGACCAAGCACATATTTGTGAAACCACGCCCACTTTTGCGAAACCACACCCAAATTGTAAATCAATGTTAAATTACCAGTTAACAGAAGTTCAAGTTATGGGCAATATACATTTTTGTTTTTGTTGAACGTCCACATTTAGTAACTTTAGTTAACAGTTCAAGTTACGGGCAGCATGAAATTTTTGTTCAAATTTAGTCACTTGAACTTTAATTAACAGTTAACTGAACTTTGATTTATGGACAACATACAACATTAAACCAAACAAAAAACTATTTTGCCTGTAGTTGGAAGTTTGGCTATTACTGTTAGTTATAATTTGGGTGTGGTTTTGCAAAAATGGGTGTGGTTTTGCAAATGTGGGCGTGGTCATTCTTGTAATGCAATTCAGCATCTCACTTTTTGTTTTCTTATACCCTTACCCCATTCACAAGAAGGGTGTGGTAATTTGTAACAATTTGTAATATTAAAAATCTTCATTGAATTTGTATTCTCATTGGGATTTTAATTAGGTGACATTTTTGAAAAAAGAAAAAGAAAGAAAAATCACAATAGAACAAAACACAAGCATGCATGTAAAGTAAAACACTTGATGCACAGTTACACAGTTAAGGGTCAGCCATTTAAAAACATGGGTGGTGTCTGGAAGAGTGCAACCAGTGCATTTTTGTTTTTTTTGTGTTTTTTTTTGCTGTGTCTTGTACATTTTTTTTATTTTCTTGAATGAGCCAGCAGTTTTTCGCTTCATCTTGATGAGTCTTTTTTTTCCTCTTAATTAGTGCCTTGCTTGCGAACTTTTTTTAAACAAACCTTTCAGCCACCCCCATGATTTTAAATGGTCGACCCCTTGGTCACTTTTCACTAAGATTTGTTCAACACCCTCAAGTGAGCAGATCATTATTACTAATCTTATTATTTGGATTTTACTAGTAAGCCTTCGTCTACCCTTGGAACGTAATTTGGTTGACTGGAGGCGAATGGTTGTTGAAATCCCGATTGTAATGTAAATATAGTCACATGCTCCGATCGCATGATATTAAGTCAGCCAGACAGCTACACCCACGTGTAGCATTACGTACAACGAAACGTCTGTGACAGCTGATCCATTTGGGGTCAGAGGTTATTACCCGATTATTCGATTCCCAACAACCAATTAAATTATTTCTAGCATGATCACACGGACATCTCGCGAGAAAATGTTCCAGGCTGACTGAGGTTAATGCAGTTTCATTTTAGTTTAATAATTTAAGAATTATTTTTCCTAAAATTCATCCGTTCATTTTTTCTAGAATAAATATAGTTATAAATTTTGCCTGTTTGTTGAATGGTACGCGGAGTTATTTTGACTTCTTTAAAATATGGTTGCTGTTTTTTGTTTATCTTTGAAATACCGTATTACACCGTTTCCTATGTTTACGGTTTCTCAAAATGGCGGCAGAAGAAGTTGGAGATGCTGCTCAACAGAGCTCTGAGAGTACGGAACAGATAGAAGCGCCGGGTTTTTTGTTGGAGTTATTTAGCAGTCCCTTAAATATTGCACTTCTTGCAATATGTTTTTACCTTCTTTATCAAATTTTAGCCCGGAACAAACCAGTGGAGGCTCCGCCAAGGCCACCAGAACTCCCCCGGTTGAGGAAGAGAGATTTCACCATGGACGAGCTTCGGGAGTACAGTGGTGGTGAAAACACGGAAGGGAGAATTTTAGTGGCAGTCAACAGTAAAGTTTTTGATGTCACAAGAGGAAAGAAATTTTATGGCCCAGGTACGTTTTGTTATTGTATTACATTTGAATATCGTGTCCTGTGAATAAATGGTGATCACTGCCCGGGGATCACCGATCCGTGTACTCAGTGCTATCATAGAAATAATATAATAATAATATAAACCTCATTGCTATTATGGATTGTAAATCAAGCAAGGCGAGAATTGCCTGTGTATGAAAACATATTATTACTGATCGCGTATACCATGCATAAATTTGCATATGCATCTGGACATTTAGATATTATATATGGTTGCTTTTTTTGGGTGAAAAATATGACTATTATTATGTAACTTTTCAACATTGGTGATCTGTTTGCATCATTATTGAAATTATACAGAGTTCATGTTTAGATCATTATCATATCTTCAGGTGGATCCATTTTAAAATATTGAATTCTGTCTGACCCTATGTTGCCCTTCACTGCACACACAATGAACAATGTACAGTGACTTAGACCAGGAAGCTGTTACAGCTCCCTGCTTAGATACAATACACCATACTTGTAGTATCAATGGCTGGTAGGACAGTTGGTCTTTATAAACATTGGGATTGAGATATCAACTACTAATATTCAAATGATATACATTACCAGAATGAGTGACATGTCTTCTGTATAGAACAACACAAAGGGGTAGATAAAGATGATGGTACATTGCGAGTGGCGTTGATATTATGCAGAATGTATGAATTACAAGACAAAAAAAAAACAATCTCAAAGTATCTGGGAGTTATAATGGCAAAGTTATTTTTGGACCCCCATTCGCAAAGCTATTTGTTTCTGTTAAATTCTCAAAGATGGAGCTACGTCACTATACCCCAAACATTGCCAGCACCAATAATAAGCAATATGACTCAATGGATTAATGCTTTCTGTTAACCAGTCTGTTAATATTAACCAGTTTTCTGACACACTAGCTGCAACAAATTTGAGAACCAAAAACAATAAAAAAGAAAAAACTGTGTAAGAATGGTGTCCACATTAAAATTGTAGCGATTACTTCATTCAAATATACTGAGATTCTCAAAAAGCAATATTTCAAGTCAATTGAGTATTTCTAAATGTAATTTCTATAAAATATTTCTGCAATCTGATTTATTGTTGTCAATTTCTAATTGCCAAATGAATGCACTTTGAAAATAAATATTATCAATGGAAAACCATACAACATGGTGGTACTACTCCCATGCTGCATGATCTCACTTTTGGCTATGTCGCAGTTCCTCTATCAGTGATAAAAGGACCGTGCTTGTGCACAATTCCTGTTGTCAAAGTAAAATGAATGTTCAACTGTTATATAAGCTATCTTTTGTTTTTCTGAGCAGAGAACTGTGCTAGTACTGTAAAATACTTTATTTTCGTTTGGAATTCATTTTCGCTGAATGGATGATTCAGTGAAAATAAAATCCAGCGAATATACCTATTTTTCCTATATTTTACATTCAGCTCGTCAAAAATAAGTGAAAATAAATTCTATACAAAACACCCAAAAAGTCTTTTCCAGCTAAAATAAAGTGTTTTAC